AACAAACAAGCGTCAATAGCAGCATCTCTCGTCAAGCAGGGCAAAAGGCGGTATTGCGTGCAGGGAAGCAGGGCCATATGCTCCTAGGGCCTGCCTTGCTCAGACCTCTGCTGTCGAATGCTGTTCAACGATACCTGCAGGAGGCTTTCCATTCTGCGGCCCTCGCGCGCACACCGCGGAATTGGACCACCCATCCTGCAATGCGACCAGTCTTGTCCGGGCTGAAGTGAGCGCTGTGTATCCCTCTAGTCCGTGGCTCTGTGCGGAATCGAGGCGAGCATCCTTTGATCTTGCTTAAGCGGTGCTCTGGGAGGGGATGGGGGAGGACGGCGGTGGGAAGGTGCACCTCTGGGATGATCACCTGCTCGCCCTTTACCGCTGCTTTCATGTATATTCCCCATCCCAGTCTCCAGCTTACCTCCCTTACACAGCGTCTGGCGGTCGAACAACAGGAGCAAATAGAAGCGTGTGACAGAACCAGGTACGGGTTGGACCAAGGAAACGGTTCCGATGCTGGTGCCCGCCTCTCCAACAGAGCGGCAGGTCCAATACCCAATGCATTCAATTTCGTACCTGGCTTTTTCTTGGTTATTTGCGCGACAACACCTCAGCTATCTAACTAGTCTCTGACGGCCAATTTGAAGCCCAAAGGCAAGGAGGAGACGGGAGGATGGGTTTCCGGATGGCAGCCCGTGGCATTACCTTCTCTTCTCCCTTGTGCGACCGCAGACCTGCCAATCGTGCCGTGCTTTTCAGCCAGCCTCCAGGGTCATTGACGTACATGAATTCTGTTGCCGTGCCGTTGTCGTTTTGCTGCACCCGGGTCGCGGTTGATGAAGATAGAGGAGAGACCTCTTCCCGCTTCCCGCTTCCCGCTGCGGGCCGATTAAGCTGTTCCCGCTCGCCATCAATTCTCAGCCTTCTAGAAAGGTGAAAAAGAAAAGAGCACGTCTGGTACTTGCCCGTCCAACAGCCGACCGCCGTCCGCCTTTCAGCCTTGCACGGCTCGGAAGGCGGTGTGGTCCTGAGAGACGACGTCTGCGTCTATTAACTCTGCTGTACAGTCTCTAACCTGAACCTGTACATCACCCTGCAAGTAGCAGCCCTGAGAGAGGAAAGGAGACACATTCAGGGATTCGCACATCTCGTTTGGGCCAATCTTTCGGCATAGTCCGAAAGCCTTTGCTTAGCTTGTTTCCTTTTTACCACCTTACATGTCACCGCACTTTACATGGTGCAGTAGCTGGCGATCATTTGCGGAGTAAATCGAAAATTATGTCAATCCTTGTGTTCTTTTCTTTTTCTTCTTCCCCGTCTTGTTTGGGCCAGTGCTGGCAATGCAACAATAGATACCTCGCCAGCTTGTACCTGCTGACCTGCAAGGTCCCTTGGGTCGATTTCTGTTTCCTGAGTGGCTGGCCTTGGGAATTGTCGCTCTTGGCTTTGGGGACATTTGTCTTACATTGCTCGCCGGGCTGACCTGTACGGAATAGTGGTTTGGAGTTTAGGGGTCGCGAAGGGGGGGCTGAGCAGCCCTGGCAGGCGAGCTGAACACGTCATGAACGGCCCGATGTCAGACCGCAAAAACGCAAACTGTTACTTTCGATACTTTTTTTGGGGGGGGAGGATCTCCCACGTCGGATTTTGAACCATTTCCCCAATTTCGATGATTATGGGGTCGTTCTAGTGAGGATTTTCGATCTCATAGGGTTCCCGCTGTACGGTCGATCGGCATGTGTGGCTGGGGTCTTCACCTTCACCATGGCTCACCTCGCTGGCCCCCCCGGCCCGGGGTTTTTGACAAGCTGACAGGTGAACCCTTGGAACCCAGTTCCCCCATCCGGGAACTCGAGGTAAACACCGAAGAAGCAGGACGTGCTCCCCGAACCGGCAAGGATTTTTGTCTCTTGGGGAAAAAAGGCCTATTGGACGGGTTTGTCACATCTGCACTGCCTCCCCCCATGTTTGCTGTCAATTACGGTTCTAAGATTGGATTTGTACAAGTGCCAAAGTCGGATTCCCTCCTTGCATGCATCAGGGAAGGGATCTACGGGAGTTCGTGTCTATATTGGGCTGTTTTCGGTTCTTCTTGGACCTTTTTCTTTCCCCATCCGGGCCCTCGCTTCGGGACTGTAGGGCTGTCGGTGGAGTGCGTACCGAGAGTTGCTTAGAGTGATGTGAGATCTTCTGTTGCAAAGGAAGTGGTTTTGGTCCTGATCTACGGTTGCCCGATGCCATGGAACGTGTGATCCTGTGCAAGTGCGCATGGGGATGTTGGGCCAGACTGCGGATGAGGTGAAGGTATTGATACTTGTGCGTTTACATGTCTGTGACGAACACGGTCACGGTTGTGGCGGAGTTGTAGATTGCTGTACGTCGTTTTGGTGATATTGCCTGGTATCTGGGTATCCAAGTGCCGGAACAGCTCGGACCCTACCTATTGTGAGTAATGGATGGATTACCATGTCGTCTTTCATCCTCTTGAAACGGGCTGTTGGGGACAAGAGTCGTCAAGGCGTGCACGAGATAGGCTAAGCCCTAATTTGCTCGGACATACCTAAAGCAGCTCGAGGTTGAAGTTCTGACCGGGGGGGTTCCTGCTGACAGACTTTATCTTCCCTTTTCCTTGGCGCTTATTATCTCGTCTTTCTGATATTGGGCCCCCCGTTGCACCGACTCTCTTACACGCGGCAGTTTGTCATCTGGTGTAACACATGTCCCCCCGAAGCTTGCCAACGTTGTCGCCGCTCTCTTTCCAAGTTACGCGCATAACTCATCAAGACGCTTTCAAGCACTAGGTATTATGCACAGTAAGCGTCCTGGCATGCCTTGCTTGGATCTTTTCTGTAACGATCCATCGTTCCCGCTCTGTCCGCATGGGTGTTTTCATTTGTCTACATGTCATATTTTGCTCTTGTCTGCCAAAAGTGACAGTGCTGCGGGTGAGAGAGCGTGCATGTTTTTGGTCACCCTGCAGAGGCGGAGAGGAAGTGTCGGACTTCGTTTAATTCTGCTGCCTGCCTGGTGTCCAAGCGCGGCAAATGTGTGTGTGTTCAATGCAGAAAAAAAAAAAGGAGTCATACAAGTCATCTTAAAGTGGTCCCCGAGTCGGTTTCCTCTCTTCCTTATTAGAGAGGGAAAAAGCGAAAGTGGATTGCTGACAGGCATTCTGGCTTTTCCACCACTCAGGGTTGCGCGGCTAAAGGGGAGAGAGAGAGACAGAGAGACCGTTTTGACAACTCAGAGAGTGAGAAAAGGGGGGAAAGGGGGTTGCATCAGGTTACACAGGCAGGGCAGGGCTCGCTTGGCGGTATCACATTCCCATGTGGTCAGATGATCGCAAGGGGGTTTGCAAGGGGGGTTTATTGGTGCTGTGATAGTGAATGACTGCATGAGGTTTCCTTATTTCCGGGCTATTTGCTCATGTCGGCAGATGTTGATGGGCCAAATCCGGCCATGAGAGGCTCTTGTTGTTGGTGGTGCGGTGGCTCGAGCAATGCAGAAGAAGTCTTCATCAGCCCTGGGAAGAAGTCGGAAATGGGAAAGAGAAGGGACTCGACCGTGGCGGAGAAGTTGTCTCGCTTGTCCTCTCGGGCTGGAAAGCCGGGTCCGTGGGTTCGGTGCCGCTCGGGAGCATCGGCTGTTTGTCTGTATTTACTCTTAAGAGGCATTCAGATCGGCATTGCCATGGTCCCACGACTGGTAGGTAGTAGTACCTGTTGATCAACCAGTGTCTCTCTTTTCAACCCATGTTTCAAACCGTTGGACACGTCGATATCTTTTTGAATCTCTTGCATAGACTCTATCCGTTCATGATAGGTTATCTGGAAGCGGCGGGCGTCCTGGAAAGAAATGCCCGTGTCAAATTCACACTAAATGTAACGTCACAGGATTCGTATATTGAAGAGTCTAGCTAAATGCATGTTGCTCGTCTTGCTCATAGAGATGAGCATCCATCATGCCGAGGCATATACGCAAAAAGTTCTCCAAGATGTACACCGTCCCGTGGGCATCTCCGGACGGGACACAAGTCTCGTGCAACTCTTCAAAAAGGGCTTACACTCCCAGTGAGAGTCGTACCATTAGCCCCGGCGGAACTTGGAACTTGGGCTCCGATGTGATCATGAGAGAACCTTGCTGCAGTTGGACAACGTCCCCCCCAAGATGGCCACATCGCCGCTCCCTCCCAAGATGCCCAGGAAAACATCGCTCCCAGTCCAATGAAACTCGGCCAGAGACAACGTACGTGTGTGTGTGTCACGCCGAGAGACCACCAGGATCTAAATTTGGCTATGCCACGAGGGACGAGCTGGACCACCCCCTGGAATACCAAGGAACCGAACTCCTCCAAACGGTCCCCATCGTACCACCAGCACCGGGTATCGCCAGTTCGTCGTGAACGTAAAAGTACCACCTTCTCGAATGGACTTGGTGAAACTGCCCTCCTCCTCGGGCTCGTTCGCGTCGCACAAGAGGCTCCAGTCAACCCAACCATCGGCGCTTATGCGGTTGCACAACTCTATTCTGACAGGTGCAGACAGGGCTGGCAGCGGGGAGAGACTTTCTCATCATTCATGCAATGCGTGCATGCATGCATGGAGGGGGGGGGGGGGAACCACTGAGGATTGCAAAGATATGTTGAGTCAATGCGCAAGGGCATCTCTCTTTCTCGTACCGGAGTCTAGATGACATCTTCTAGGCCAATGTCTCAGTACATGTTGGCTTTTTTGCGCCAAGTCCTTGTTCCCCAGCGCTCGCGAACCCAATCCCGCGGTTTACGGCTCCCTGTCCCCGGTGGCAAGTGCTCGTCATTATGGTAAGATACAGAGGCTCCCGGCCCCCGTCCGACCTGTTTGTCACTGCCACCAGCTTCGGAGCTCGCTGTCTATGCGGTAAGCTTTTTTCGCCTTCCCCCCTTTTTTCTGGCCCCCATGATCATGATCCGATCTCCTAAGGGGTATTCCCCCCTCTCTAATAACATCACATCCCCTAATCCCCTATCACTCGACCGACGACCGCCGCCGAAACTCAATCTCGACATTGGGGTTCGGCGTCTTGGTCATCATCATCATGACGGGCCGGGGCCGGTCCTGCCCGTCGCGCAGCTTCATGTCGTAGTGGAGCAGGAAGTACGCCAGCACGAGCTTGATCTCGTTGCCGGCGAAGAAGCGGCCCGGGCAGGCGTGCTTGCCCGCGCCAAAGTTGAGGTTGACGTCGCTCAGGGACGTCAGCTGGTGCCGGTTGGCGTCGTCGTCCGACTGCTGCCGCAGGCGGTAGAAGCGCAGCGCGTCGAAGCGCTCCGGCTCCGGGAAGTAGCGCGCGTCGTGCGAGATGCCCGTCTGCGGCGCCAGCAGCTTGGTGCCCGCGGGCAGGTAGGTGCCGTCCGAGAGGGTGATGGGCTTGATGACTTTGCGGATGAAGGAAGCTAGGAGCAATTTGGTTAGATACTTTGTCAATGTTTGGCTGTGTGGCGAAGAGGTTACTCACTGATGTTGCCCGAGGTTCGCTGGACCTCCTTGATGAAGCTGTCCAGCTTCTTCAACCTCGGGATGCAGTCCTTCTTTGACCACTCGTCGTCATCTGCCACGACTTCCAGTACTTCTTGACGTAGTTCTTCCTGGACATCAGTCTCCGCAGCGAGGTCAAAGAAGCAGTCGACGAGAAGACTGTTGGTCGTGTGTATTGATGCTGCGCTCAGTATGAGCTGAAGCTCGGTCTGAGCCTGGTAGTCTGTCCTCCGCTCCTCGGGCAACGACCCGAGCACCCATTGCAAGAGATCGTCGGGGGCTTCAAAGCCAGGCGCGTCCATGTCGCGCACCCTCTCTTCCAGGATCGGCTGAAGAAGCGCCCTGGCCCTCGCGACGTTCCGTCTCGTCTTGCGGATATGCGGCACGATGTGCTGGGCAACAGACCGCATCCACGTCGGGAAGAATTGTAGTTCCACCACAGACAAGAACACATCTATGGCATATTTGATGCTTGTCTGCATCCATTCCTCGTTGCGGTTCAGAGACGGACCTACAAATGCCCGACCGCTTAAGCGAGCTATCGTTCGGAGGGCAAACGGCTGGAGTTTCACCGGTGTCCAGTCTGGGCCGTGATATCAGTAAAGAGAATCGTACAAAAATGCCGCAAGCACTTACCCTTGCATTCCGACAGCTCTGTCGCCGTGATGTATTCGAGCTCATCCTTGAGCTGGGGCACCAATCGTGCCAAGTTGTGTGTAAGCTTCGTCCGGACGAGTGCAGAGAGCAGCTCGCTATTTTCACCTGGCGAGAACTTTGTGTAGTTGCTCATCAGAGCCTGCTCGAAGAGTTAGCATCACATCCTGCAAGTGTTTGATTATGACGCCGCACCTCGCGCACTGCTTCTTGTGCGCTCAAGACATCCTCAGGGAGACCTTTGAGTTCCCCCACAAGACTCGGTGGTATCAACACCTGAAGGCCTTCCGTCGCCTTGATTTGATACACTTTATTATAGAACTTGATGCTGGTCAGTCATTGACGTCTTTCCGGGGTACAGTATCTGGAAAAACAAACTTTGTTGTAGCTCGCCCGAATCTGATTCTCAGCATCAAAGATCCATTTCAACTTCCCAGCCTTGAAGAACGGCGCTTCCACGTGTTTCTCTCGTTTTGACCGAAAGAAGTAGGCGACTAGTAGGACGCACGCCAGCGCGATGTAGTAGTTCAACCGGTCCCCTCGTCGTAATAATGACTGGCCGACGGGATATATGTCGGCCACCGACTCCATCTTGCTCAGGATCCCACCCGGGCCGAAGTAGGTGTTTGTGTGGTTAGCCATCGCCTGCGGTATGGCAGAAGCAGGGCAGAACAAATCGTCGGCCTGAGCTGCCCCTGCTCGTTGTGATGATGTTGACATTTGCGCTCTTTGCGTACAATGTCACCTTCCGAAGACCCTGTTCAACGGCGACGGTCCCACGTGTTGAGCCCAGAAGGGGTCTGAGGTGACACTTCGCCGCGGTACCATTGACCCAGTACGCCCATCAACACACAAGACCCTTTTAGCTCAGGTTGAATATCAACTTGATGATCCGAGCCGAGTCCCTCTTCAACCGCAGTCCCTCCGGCTTCGAAGCTGCGCTTTTGAATTATTCCACTGAAAATTGGCGAATATGAGTGATAAGAGCCTCTCGCCCTGCTTGAATTGCCGTTGTCAAAGATCGTTTAAGGGAGGCACCTGGCCAAAGACGGCCAATGGACAAAGAGGCAAAATAGCAGAAGGAAGATAGAGTCGATCAGGAACACGATTCGAGCCAAGCATGAACAGATAACCTTAAAAGTCTGTTGTTGGTCACAAGAGGTTGGCAGTAGCATGCCGGGGGAGCAGAGCCTTGGCAGGGACTTCCTAGACGAGCCACAGCCGGTCCCGAATTCAGAACCCTGGTCTATACGGTCACGAGCGGGGACAAGGAGAGAGGTCATGACTGTTAGGGGAACAGCAGAGGGCCGGTGCAGAGCGGTAGCCCTGCATACCTGCCAAGATTTTCAGCTTTCTCACACGTCGCGACGCTTCAGCCGCCAGCCCTGTCGCGGAGGGATCAAGCCGCAAAGGGGAGACGAACGGCGAGGGCCCCCCCGGAGGAGGAGGAGGGGCGGAGATGCGCCTTTCCTGTCTGGGTTGATACGCCAGCAAGTCTGCGTGCAAAGGAAACACAGAGGTCGGAAGAGAGATCTCCCCCAGTGGAAGGGTTCAGACCCGATCTCCTCTGCGTCGTACCTTTGCACATCGCCGAAGAGATCTCAGGCAGGTCTGAAACGAGCCTTAGCGCTGGCCGCAGGGGTCTGGTGTGTGGGAAAGGGGCTGCGGCTGTCACAGTTCCGGGCGGTGGGACCCACTAGAAAAGGTGCAGGTGCCGTGGTCCAGCGGGTCCGCCGCCCGGGAGTGAGAGAGAGAGAGAGACCTGGGAGTAATTGAGTTTCCTCTGACAGTTCGCGCTCCACAGGCTAATTGGGCGCGCGGGTTCAGCCTCTCAAGCCCTCGGTGCGCGCCTCTCAGGGCCCCGTTCCTTTGCTGTGTGGAAACACGCCTTCTCAAACACAATCGACGTTCGAGAATGCCCAGAGGCTTCGGAGAACACTCCTGTTTCTGTGCATCTGTCCTTTCCAGGGCCACGGTGGAGTCTGTTCCGCGAGATCAGTTGAGATCATTGATGCTTCCTTCTCGTGGCTCGGGAGAAGCTGGGAATCCACGTCGGTTTTCCGCGCCCCGGCCCCCGTCGCCTCGCTTCGATCAACTCGGGAGTGAAATAAGGTCGAGCCGTGGCCTGGAACTCACCATTGTCGCACTCATCAGAGAGCGCCAAGGCGTCTTACATGAGAAAGAAGCTTCAGAGCTCCACGTCCTAACCTGCATGCTGGATCGTTCATGGACCCGCCAAAAGACCAAGGAAGAGAGAAAAATCCAGTTGGCCTCGCCTTTTTTCACGGCAAAAAAGATTGATAACAGGCTGCAAGTGTTTCCAAGACAGCTCGAGTTGCAGGGAGAAACGGGCTCGTCCCCAGAATTGACAGGGCCAGGTAGTACCTTCCCAGTTTGCAGACCCTTGCCGTCATGCGTAGCTTGCACTTGCCTCGCCTGCTCTCCTGCTGGGCCTGCCAAGGCGCGCGGGCATGGAAGAGGCCTGCTTGTCATTGTTTCGCCATCAAACAAGCCTATCTCTCTCGGGACCAGGCTCTGGGCTGGTTCCAGGCCCGGCCCTCGCTTACCTACCTTACCTTACCTACCTCTTTACAAGTACTTCCTCGAATAGCGAGGCAGAGGGCCGATGGCGTGTTGCTACCCGCTCTCATCCCGCGTTCGGTCAAGTGTGTGTGTGTGCCTCCTCGCTCTTGGCATTCATGTAGCCTCGACTCGATTCTCTCAAGGAGCTCACAACCGGGTGGGGGGCCCATCCAGGACAGAGTCGCCAAACGTGAGCAGTGTTTTGAAGATGGCCTAACAAATGCTGCTCCGTGGGTGGTCAGTCCTCTAGCCGAGATGGACCGTATCGAGGCCGGCCTCGGTCGCGGCCAGGACGAAACGGAAAAAAAAATGAAGGCAGCCGCCAGAACTGAACCTGGAGTCGCCGACATCTCTCTTACGCCGTCAGCCGTGACCGTCGAAGAATAACGACTGGACTCGGCTGCCTGCTCCTCGTACTTGACGTACCACCATCGGCACCCAGTTCCGATCACAATACCTCGAGAAGTGCCGTACCGTCATCCCTCATGCACGTGGTTGATTGTGCACCAACGAGAAAATAGTTGCACAAACAAAGGTGCGAGATGTAGAAAACAGCCACACGCAATCCCACATGTGTGTGCTTGTCCCTTGGCCGAACATCATTGCCAATAATGCATCTTCCCGCATCCCTTTCCATCCGGGTGCCTCAGCCCTCGCAAAAATTCACGCAGAGGACAAGGAAGGGAAAGAAAAAGTGCAATTTTCTCCGTAGAAGGACAGGGTCAAGAGAGAGACACACAACACCCCATGTTCCACGGCATGGAGATAGTTGGGTATACACGATCAGGCTGGAGATGGCGTGGGCCATCCTCACACCGATGCGGCCTGCCGCCGCCGCCGCCGCCGCCCTGTACTGTCTTGTCCCAGGGAGGCGGCCATACACTGCGACAGGGCTGGTCATCACGCGGTAATAGGGGACAGGCCGGGCATTCTGGGGTTGCCTTCCACGGCGGAGGAACTCCTTGCCGTGTTATGGTTGCACTTCCTTACCGGTTGGCTTAGGAATCCCCCCCACCTCTTTGGCGTTTTGCGCACACCGCTCCCTCTCTCTATCTCTCCCCGACACTTGAGTGGTGTCTTTTATCTTGCCATACGCATGCAGTCAGCATCCCGCCCTGCACGCTACGGTGCAGCAGCAGATCCTGGGGACGCCTTTTCCCTAACCCCCCTCCGTAGGCTCCCCGGACAATCCCACCCCACCTTCATGCACCTCCAACCGATAAGAGGCGAGATACGTTTGATCATGTGCACTTCTCCCCGCGTACGATGCTGCCGCATAATTCACCGGTCGAGATTGTCGTATCTTCTTGTCCCTCCCGCACCCTGCGAACTGAAAACCCGATCCTGATGATGGAGTTGGATCCGGTCAGTGGAGTCAGCACATTTTTGATCGTTGGGGTCCCGGCCCGCGCCGGGTGCATGCGTGTCAGTGGGGCCGGTGGAAGCGGGCGCTAATGAGTGACATGTCAATCAATGAATGCCTCGCAATTTACGTTGTCATGATGAGATTAGCTCTCGAGTATGCCTAAGACCGTGATTGCTCATGTTGTTTATCCCCAGTATCACCATGCTGCGGGCTCCCGTCCATATGCATCTGAAATCCATCCCCCCCCCCCCCCCCCCCCCCCCC